TTAGTATTAGTAAAATCTACTTTGATATGCTTTACAAGACAGCAAGAGGGTGCTATGAACTCTATAGTATTATAGCTAATATATAAGGTACTAGCTTTTCAATTATATACTTAGTCCTTGATACAACAAAAGTAACAGATACAAGTACTAGCATAGAAAAATATTATAAAGTTCTAGAGTGCTTTCTAAAAACTATAAAAATGCATAATATAAATCTAGACTTTATATTTACAAGTATGGGGGTCTTCAGTAGTCTAACTATATACTTGGTATATAAATTAGATATTGAAACTTAAACTAAAAGAAAAGGCCAAACTATCAGATAATGAAAAGCAACTGTGTATAATCTATAATATTGCACAGGCAATTAATAAGTTTAACTTTATTGACTCTGCATTTTATTCAACAAAAAATAATTATGATCCAAGAAAATATATTATCTGCCTATCAACATGTTAAACAATGGTTTTGATGCTTATACAAAAACATTTTGACATGTATCTTCTAATACCTATTGATATTTAGAGAACTACTTTAACACCAGTAAATATTAGATGTAATACTATAAAAAAGATATATCAATTTTGTAATAAAAACTTATTGAGACTATTATAGGTATATCTTTGAACTAACTAATATTCTCTGGATTAATAGCATCTGTGAGTATGATTAGCTAAACTAACTATACCTTTTGGTAAAACTACAATAAAAATAGAAGCCTATTAAAATGTTGTCAAATATTATTTATATCAAATTAATCATTCTAGACTAGATTTATTGTTTTAAACACTTATTAATAAAATAATACTTGTACAAAAGAAGCGGCTTCTACAAATTGTAACTAGTATTGTTGAACAATGGTAGTAGGATGATTTTAAAAAAGAATAGAATACTGCAGAGGCAAGAGGTAAACAAAATACAGATATTAATATTAATAGACATATCAAAGACAAAAGAAAATGATATAATAATAAAAAAAATGACTAAATTAGAAAGTTTATATTTTACTAATATTAGTTAGTGGGTTTGCAGCTATCCAGCTTTTCTTAGAAGCCACTTCTTGTTGTGTAAACATCTAGTCTAGCAGATTATCATTCTGCCAAATAGTCAACAATAACGATTAATTTGAAATAATTTTAGAGATTGTACTATTTTCTTTATTCCTTGTTTTAACAGACTATAAAAATAATGATGCTATATCTAGCACTTTACTTGCTATATCTTTTAAAATTAAAACTACTATTAATAATATACCTCATAATAGTACTAATGTTGATAAAGATTCAAAAAAGAAAGCATATTCTTATATTGAGTCAAATTGAGAATTATTTAAACAAGCAATTAATCAAATTATTACTAAAGGGTCTGCTAATTATTGGTGCCAAGTTCGCTTAATAATGGAATGAAGTAGATTAGTACAAATGGAAAAGGATATATAGGCAACAGATAGTGTTGTTAGTCGAAATAATTTAGACATTTAGGCATTTAGGCAAATTAAATTTAGACAATTTTGACATTGTTATTTTTTTGAAAATTACTGTTAAAAAATTAAAAAAAATTAATTTAGACATTTAGACAATTTAATTTAGACAAATTTTGACATTGGCAAAAATAATTTCGACTAACAATATTAGCAATAGAAGACAAAGATATTAGTAAAAGACTTGAATATCAAACAGAAAACTATATTTGATGTACTTATCATATCTGGAAGAATCAGAAAAAGCAAGCTTTAGTGAAAGCATTTTGGCTAATAATACAGATACCTGGGTAAAAAATACTGGAAAGCATAATAAAGCCAACTAAATCTATATATTATTAAAAAACTCTAAAGAGTTAAAATATTAACTTACACACTAAATTAAAATGAACAAAAATAAAATTAAATAATTATTTTAAATGTTTAGTATTTAAATAGAATTATATAGTAATACTTATAAACTTTGAATTTGAATTGCTTATTTAAAGACTCTAATTAATAAATTTTTTTTACCTGTATATTGAATTAAATAAAATATAAATACATATAAATTTATATAATTTTAAATACAAATTAAAAAATTATTTATCACTTACTTAAACCAATATGAATAGAAATTAGATATTAAATACTATTGTATCTTTTAAAATTAGATTAATAAATTTTCTTTTTACCTACACTAAATTAAAGTAAAAAATAAAATTAATTGTAAATATTCATGAATTTAAATAGTCATTTTAAATGCTTAGTACTTATCTAATTTCAATGCGAATAAATAGAAATTATATAGTAAATACTTATAAACTTTAAACTTGAATAGCTTATTTTAAAAACTGTTAATATCTCTATCATTATATTCATTTTTTATTTTTATTATCGATGTAATTGGTTATTTTTAAATGAATATTTGTTATACTTGACTCTTACTAGTTTATTATTTTTTTTTTGATTTACTAGTGAATTTTAAATATATTATGTAATAAATGTTAAAATAAAAGTAATTTGAAAAAAGTATAATGATAATTACAATCCTTGAAAAAATTTTAAGATCATCAAATTTGAGTAACATACATTTTAATAATGGATCAATAGGTCAGAAATAATTGATAATGTCACCTGATTTAGTTACCTTAGTGGATTTATTCAAATTCAGTAGAAGAATTAGAAAGTAAAATTTAACATTAAGGTAGAGCTTTACAAGAAAGATATACAAATATTGCATTTGTTATATAATTTTTATCAACTATGCAGGTTATAATAATACCTTTAGAGTCTTGAATTTTTTTTTTTGGAATTTGTGTTTCTTTTTTCTTTTCTTTGTTTGTTTTTCTTTTTTGGTCATTTTTATAGTTTCTTGATTTAAACTTTTCTTCCTTTTGTCTTGTGCCCTTAAAAAAAAAGAAAAATTAGAAGAGAAAAAAGGTCCTAAGATAGGAGCTGAGCTCAGACTAGACTATATCTTTAAATACACCATACCATATATAGGATATAGTAGCCAATATTAGTGCAATAACCAAGGTTGGGCATCTTTAAGAGACAGCTGGCTTTTTGTCTAATTACCTTGTTAAATAGCTTGGTTTTGTATTAAGTATTATATATTTAATAAAATTTTAGTATGTGGTTATCAAAAAAAAAAAATTAGACAATATTGAGAATCATCCAAATAGAGCTCTCTGTTTAGTAATTTTAAAGATTATTCGAAAATGGAGCTCTCTGATTGGCCAGTGTTGCCAGATAGACATTTCACTTTAATATATAAATACTTATCTAATATGGGTTATAACATATGTTTATTATAGATTATTTTTCTTTTTGTCTTTTTTTTATTTTTTCATTTATACTTTAGCTATTGTTTTATTATAGTTTTTATATAGATATTTTTCTTTTTTAAACTTTTCTTTTTTTCTTTGATTTTAAAGTTTTTTTATATAGTAGTTGAAAAATTTTTTTTTCTACTTGAGAAGTTAGAAAAAAAAGATTTAGGATTAAAAAAAGAAGAGGCAATCATGATATATTAGTTTTTTAGTTACAAGAAAAATAGCATAAAGAAAAAGTTTACTATAGCAGATCAAACATAGGTAATTTGGACTTTTGTTGCAAAGAGCCAATACTTGTAAGTTAGATCAGGCCATATGGTATAGCTGTATTGCCTAAATCGTACTTGTATGAAATAGATATAAAACAAATTTAGTACTTGAGCCTAATAAAGTATTCAAATTGATTCAAAAATATATAGCACACAATTTAAAATTTGAAATTTATAAACTAACTGCTAGGCTACTGGCCCAATCCTGCTTATAATATTACTGGTAAAAAAATTTTTTTTTACAAAGTTTGCTATATAAATACTTTTAAATTATATAATAAAATAAAAATGATATATAGCAGGCAGCTGACAATTTGATAAAAATATTTTATTTAAATTTTACAAATTTATAAAGTTTTTTATTAAATTTGATCGGGAAAACTTCGATTAAAACTTAAAAAGATCAGTCAATCAAATTAAGAATTTTTTGTGCGCCACACTGTCGCGTGAAATGAAATTGGTGGCGATGCAAGACATGTCAATAAAAATTGTGATGGGAAAGATGCATATTTTTATTGGTCACCAGATTTTTAATTCGTCAGTTAATTTACAAAGCTACAAAGCTTTGGCTCATATATACCCAAAATCATACCTTCTACATCTCAATATACTAAATTTGATCGTAGCCTCACATATGAAACAATATTGTTAATTGATAATAGATCCCACAAATTTATAATATTAATATAATAAATCTATACTTTAAAATGTATAATCACAGTACAGATTGACAATTTACAATAAATTGCAATATGTGTTTTGGAAAAAAAAGGATTACATTAAAAAAAATTATAAAAGAATGACGTGTTACAATCTAGCCCACAAGGACTTCAATTGAGTAGCGTAAAAATTATATGACTCTTAATCGAACGGTGGTCAACAAAAATAATCAATTTTTTTTTTTTTTTCTTTTTATAATTTTAAATTCTATTGAAGTGAAATAAAAGGAAAAAAATGACACCAAAGTATTAAACAAAATTTGACCCTTTACAAATGTGTATATAACTAAACGGTTCACCATTTTCCTTAATATTTTGTACAAAGGGAGGAGCACCTTTCCAGAAGGATGCAACTCCCCATTATAAAGAATTTTTAATAAGGAGATACGATCCTTTGATAAGAGCCACACTCCTTGAATTAATGTTATTAACAAAAAAGATATAAAATGATACTTTGTAATGTAGGAGGAAAGGGAATGATAAAATGAAGCACGATATGTAATATACAGTTGAACCACCAAAAACTGATATGCACGGTGGACAGGTTTTGCATCAGTATTGAGAGGTTATCAGATTTGAAAACATTATAAACTATTAGATTTATATATCAGAAACGGACTTGGTAGATTAATTTTTTTAGATTTGATAGGTTATCAGTCTCGACAGGACCTGTATTGGGAGGTTCAACTGTACTAAAAATAAACACAATTTTTTTTTACATAACGATACAGATGCAACCACCACCAGATGGTGCATAAGGATCGTCGCGTCTATCGACAGGTCCCCAAACAGATGGTACTAAGAAATCTCTTGTATTTCTACAATATAAGATTAAGCTTGAATAGATATAAGTTGACATTAGTTACTAGTGCTTGGAAGTGTATCTAAAACACATCTAAATACACATCTAAATACAATACACACCTATTACTTGCTTCACTAACACGTACCCGGGGACGATCTAAATCTTCTCGAAGTCTTTGGTTAAGTTCCACTAACCGTCGAAGTTTAATGTCGGCCATTGATTGTTGCTTTTGTCTGTGCATCGTGCTATATGGATGTAATTTTTATAATTGCAAATTGATGATGAATTTAATGATATATTAAGGTCTTTGCCTATAATAATAAAAAGCGGTAAAATGTCAGGTATATAAACAGATTAATTTATTCCGCAAAATTCGGTAAGTCCCGTCTAGTGTAATCCAAATATTTCCATCGATGATGTATTTATAAAATGAAATAAAATTACTGTACCTTTAATATTAAGAACTTTTGGTTAAACTGCACGATAGTATACATATTATGTGGTTTAAAGTTTTCGTAAAATAGAAGATATATATATTAAATAAATAAGATTTAAAGATTTCTTATTAAAATTAATTTTAACCAACTTACCAGAAGGAATGAGCTAGTTTTGTAAAAGAGTGAAGAAAAAAAAAAATCGATATGAAGAAAGTAAAAATTCCAGCTTGTGCTAGATAAAACAACGGTTGGCTAAGGTAGAACCAACCAAATAAAGTTTTCATTCGGTTATGTAATCTGCATTGAATTATCCTTTTTAGTAAATAAATTAAATAATATATTTTCTTACAATCAATTTTTATTCACCAATTAATTTTTCGATGAGTAGCATTTGTTGTCTGACAAATATTATTATGTTAAACAGTGCTAATGAGTGTACTTACTTGACTTCTAACCGATTGTACTAGTCTAAAATTAATGTGCGGTGAGTAGCATATATTACAAATACACAGAAGTAAAATCAATTCATCCCTTAAGATGTACTTCGACAGATTTCATAAATCTAAATCTTTAACGCTAATTAAAGAATTCATGTATGTACCATGATTTTCGAATATATATCCTATTATGTGATCATGTATCCCTTTGTTGGAAATAATGTACAGAATGTACGTAAGTACGCCCCTGTGCGTGTACATTAAGTACGTACGTACGTACGTACGTTGAAAGATGAAACGAGCACAGATCATCCCGAGATGATTCGGGTCGATTCTGGCAAATCTGCCATTTATGGTCTACATATGAGGATTGGTGAAGAAACAATAGCGAAAGTAAAGATCGGATTAAAACCTTCGAAAAATGTATTTAAAGACCGAAAGAATGAACCATCCACTTTCGGTAAAACTAAAATCATACATAAATACTATAATATTGATTAAAGTTGAAAGCCAAAGGTACAACCATGGAGTCAAATGAGAATAATCATATTTATATTTAGAGTTATACAGTTTGTCAAATTTATTGTTATAATTATGATATACATGGGCAATTTAATATGCATATGGGCTAATCGGATGCATTTCTAATAATGTGATATATTCGAATTGCAGATCAAAATTTTGAATTAGACCAATCAATACAAATGATTTGATTTCCTATTTTGCTTCTAAAGCGGTGCTGAGTCACGTGACACTGCGCCAATCAAATTAAAGAAATTAGACGATCCCGACGAGGCAAAAGATTTGGAAATAAAAAACGGTAGTCTGAACGCACCTCGGGACTTATATAAAAACTTTTTAACCCTAACCCTAACCGTAAGTTAAAGTGATCCCTTTAGATATCCCTCTATTAGGGTGTTTCACATCAGATGATTTACTATCATAACATAATGCAGCACAATATGATTGGCGCACTATGTAAGACTTGAAAGTCGATTATTATTTTTTTTTTAAACGCTACGTACGTACGTACGTATGACTCTTTTTTACTTAAGCAGATCTACTACAGAAATTTATGGGTTATGTATAAAATTAACGTTGTTTTAAAACTATGTTGCCAATTTTCAATTTTCTTATAAAATTTACCAATTTTCACTTTGAAATTGAAATTTTGGCAACATAATTTTTGGAAAAATCATAAAAAATCACAAAATCACATAAAAATAATAGTCGATTCCTATTTGTACACTAGTGTATGAAACACGGGTGTAGTCATAATTCAAATTTTGCCTTCTAACAAAAAATAATCTACGCAAAATTTTAGTATAAAACACTCTAACCATAACCTCTAGCCCTAATCCTAACCCTAACCCTAATATTGAGTGGTTTTTGTTTTTATGAACTTTACGGATTTGCAAATCAATTAATACCATACACTGGTATAGAAATTTTCAAAATAATATTATTGGCCAAAAAAAAAAAAATACCGAAGATCACATGATAATACAGAGAAAGTTTAAAATTGAAGCGGCGCAGTTAATTATAAAAATTAACGGGCTAACAGCCGTGATCTGAATATTTTTGGCCCGCATTACAAAATTGTTTACTAATTTCCGGCCGGAATTAACTTTTTGATTTTTCATTACAAAGAAAGTAGCCAATTACATGACCAATTGGCTAGAAGCTAGAATTTATTTAAAAAATTTTTCATTGAATTCCATCAGGCAAATCCTTCTAGTACTTAAAGATGCCATTAAAAAAATTCAAGCCCTCGATCTGACGGTTTAAAAGTTGTAGGAAAATTAGTAACTGAAAATCAACACAATTGCCAATTATATATATATTAAATAAATTAAACCCAAATTTTGATAGAAAAGGTCTTTAGACTATGGAAACAAGTCCCTAGAATTTACTCACTCTACCAAAAATATGGATTAATGAATTTTATGATTCAATAGAAATAAAGTAGCAATGATAGAATTACTTAGATGATTGAATCTCTATATCGAAAATCAACTGCATGTTCATCTAATAAATAATGAAAATTCTAATCCGGATGCTATTGATAAATATATTTCTCACTACTTTTAATAATTGTCGCGGCTGAAGCTGGAAACGGCTGATGCTGGAAATTAGAGACCTTGATTTAAAAATAAAAACCCTACCAAAATCCACTTATACTCTAACCCTAAAAAAACCCCCTAACAAAAGGCCCAAAAAATTTTTGAAAATTTCATATTAAAATAATTAAAATTTCCAGCATCAGCCGTTTCCAGCATCAGCCGCGACAATAATTTTTTTTTTTTTTAAATTTGAACAAAGATTTACCCTTCTCCAGTCGTGATCATTTTCCTAAGAGACGAAAAAAAATTTTTTTTACGAATTTGTAAAAATTTTGATTAGGTGTTCATATACGGTCAGTTTTAATTTTTTAAACTCAATCAAGCTTTCTTAATGACGAACCTAGTATAACCACCAAGATCAGTTACATGCGGAGTTTTGCATGATTTCCGATTTCGTCACTAATATCAATTAATATGATTACTAATATCAATTAATATGACGATTAATATTGTATATTGTTAATCGGTTATTTTGATTTAATTTGCAAAAAAAAAAAAAAAAAAAAAATTCTTCGCTCTTCAACGCATCCAAATATTCTGTAAAAATGGAACCAAAATATTGTTCATCTTGTGATGCAACAAAACCAGCTAATTTATTTGAAGCTAATAAAAAGACATGTGTTAAATGCTTAAATCGAATAAATGAAGGCAAGAAAAGAAAGCATGAAGAGAAAAATGAAAAAAGTAATAATAAGATGCAAGAAAGTGCCATTGATTTTGAGGAGCTTGAGAATATAATTTATGAACAACTTATGAACATTGAGGAGAAAAATGGTGAATCCATGGAGTTCGAAATTAATGTAGATATTTCTTGTTTGGTTGACAAGTTGGAAGAAAACGGTATTAATTATAATGAAGATCAAGCAAATTTATTTGCACTTGAAATTGTAAAAATTTGCGAAAAAGGTGATGGATATTCTTACATATATCATAAGAAAAATTGCAACCAACAAAATAAGATCATTTCGTTCACTTACTGGTGTAATTGCCGTTGTGAGCTTAAAAGAAAAATAAAAAAAATTGAGGATGAATCAAAACAACGTAATACTGAATCACGATTAAACCGTTATGATTGCAAAGGAGCAATTCTTATCAAACTTAATTTACAAACTACTCTGGCAGCAATAAAGTTAAGCCATTTGTATCTTCACCCACGTCCACGACATATCAACATTTCTAATGAAATCAAGGAATATATTCAAATGAATCTATCATGTACTGCCGCTGAATTATATAAACGAATAGCTTTAGAAAAAATAAATGGTTACGAATTAATAACCTCAGAGCAAGTTTATTATTGGTGGGCTTATTACTCTGCTACCAAATATAAACGTAATGACAATCAGATTATATCTGCTAAATTATTCTTGAATGAAAAAAATTATTCAATCATTTTGGATCTTACCGATCCAACACCAGCATTCGCTTTTATAACACCTTTTATTGACACATTACCAAAAAATGCATTTGAAACTTTAATAGTTGATGCAACGTACAATACCAACCAGCTTAAGCAAGAACTTTATGCACTTATGGCTATTATAGATGGAACAGGTTTTCCAATTAGTTATTTGTATGTTTCAAATAATAAGAACCGTGAGATGCGAATGATTATAACAAAGTGGTTCAAGGCCATTTATAATTTAAATATTATCAATGTGAAAATCCTATTAAGCGATAAGGACTTTGCACAAATTTCAAGTGCACAGGTTATTTGGAAGGACATAAATGTGCAACTTTGTAAATGGCATGTGAAACGTGCTATTGAACAAAAGCTCTCATCCAAAAAAGGTGAAACATTTCGGTATAATGCAAATACTGCATATAATGAATGCAATATAATAGATCCAACATGGAATAGTAATAGTGATCTTATACAACATACCGACGTATCTACAAAATCATCTAAAGTTTTTCTCGAATCACGATTCAGAAAAGACATATTAAATTATATTGAAACACATTTTCATCGCCATATATTAATACCAACTGCTGACAAAGAATTTGTAACTTCATCTCGTGAAATTTGGTTTCGTGCAGTACATGAAATGTTTGATTATTGCCATAAAAATAATTTTTTACATGTGTGGGCCTATTGTTGGAATGAATGGTATCGATGGGACAGATGGAAACTTTGGGCTTTATCCGCTGCTCCAGAAATTTCTGTAATTCGTACAACAATGATCATTGAAACACATTGGCGAATCTTAAAAAGAGACTATTTGTATAAATTTAACCAACCACGCATAGATCTTGTATGTTATATTTTTGTTGAAAAGTTATTGCCAATACAATTGCAACGTTTTCAGCTACTCTTGCATGAACGAATTTTACCTTCATGGCGTGATGATTTTAAAAAAGAATGGAAAAGTCTCACTACACGTGTAGTAAAAAATACAGAAAAATATCTTACCGATCATAAGCATTGGATATGCTCTTGCTCTTATTTTTTAACAAACAGATTTTTTTTATGCAAGCATCTTGTTAGTTCACTTGGAAAAATGGATGCATTGTTTTTTCGAAAAGTATATTTACTTATATATTAGTATATTTATTTATTTATTAGAAATATAATTTCTAATAATTATTATAAATTTAGGTTCAACGAAACTCGAATTATCCACTTATTACAGAGACTGAACAAACTAATTGGGAGATAATCCGTACATCAACACCAATTGATTATACACAAATTGATTTAACAATAAATTTAACTACTTCGGATGAATGTAATATAGACGAATGTAATATAGACGATGTAGATGAGTCAGATGATAAAGAACCTGAATTTGAACTAAAAATTGTAGAGAACTATAAAAAAACCCTTAATGAGGTATAATTTATTATAATAACTGTTTATATTTCATATACATAATTAACAATTACTTGATATAAATATTTAGGCGCTTAATCTTCTTGAAAGATCTTTTGATCTTCCGCAACAAAAAAGATGGTTAGAAAATATTGAATCGAACTTCATACCAATTCAAAAAATGGTTAACGATATTAAACATTTGGAACATGCGAAAAATCTTCCAAAAACATGGAATGGGCGAAACAAAAATACATTTTATTGGCAATAAATAAAAAACTAAATTAAATATGCTTTTGCATTTTTTTTATTGTTTTTTTTAAAAAAAATAACAAATAAAATATCGCTTTGAATATTTTTTATACTTCTATAAATCTTTATATTAAAAATAAAAAAAATTAATTTGTATTGCTAAAGTAAGCGATTATATTTGAAATTGCTTAATAAAAAAATTATTATTTTATTATATTTTTTTAAGTATTTTATTTGACTAGAATGATATAAATTTAAAGTGCATAACATGTTTTAAATACCGATTATAACTGCCGATGTAACTGATCTTGGTGGTTATCCTAGGATCGTTTTTCTTAATTACTTCCTGATTGAATAGATGTTAGGAAACTGAATTTTCAAATCTTTGTTGGTACGCACTGTCACAAATTTTAAATTCGTGACATGAAAAATTTCTCTAATACATTTGTCCTTCACATCTGATAGTGTAGCACGTTATCACGTTTACGTGTTAACAAAATGACCGATTCTATGTACGTACATACGTATGTTTTAATAGCACGATAATGTGGTGTAATTAATTATAATGTTGTGAATAATTAAACGAGATATTCCTTTCATGTCTAAGAATATTATGATGCATACATTTTTTTAAAGTTCAACCATCCCTAATCTTTAACGAACATTAATTATAATATTTACTATTGTATAATATATATACTTATTTTTACGTAGCATCGTCTTAATATTGTAATAGGCGTGCCTGGTAAGTGTAATTCACGTGAAATTGGTAATCTTATAATTGATTGGTCAATTTACATGAGATCATCAATGAACTTTACTTTACCGTTATTGAGAGGCCTGTTATTGGTTATAAATTTATATATATATTTCGGGGTCCTACGCCATTTAAAACCGAGTTCTAACTCGTTAACGCTAGAAATGCCAAAACCAGTAAAGCAAGAAGATCTAGATTTCGTTTCTTGTGAAAACGATCGCTACGAAAGTGAAATATTTAAATGGAAAAATGATCGGTTAGTTGTAAGTAATTATAATTACGTTTTAATTCATAATATTTGCTAATAAGTGATTCTTGACTATAGGAGGCCATAATACAAGAAGAGCTTGAATTTGAAAAAGAGACTTATAAAGCCAAAGCAATTGCACATAAAAAATATGAAGCAGCGGAACAGAAGCGTTTAAATGCTGATAAAGAATGGCAAAAATACTGGGAACAAGTGGCTGCTAAGTAGTGAGTATTTGAGTGCGTGAGAATAAAAACCAGGAAATAAAATTTAACCAATCATAAATTTTATTTCCTGATTTTCACTCTCACGCACACATTTCACATTTGATTTATAATATCTTTCTGTTGAGTAATGTAATTTAATCAGGAAATAAAAAATTTATAATAGTGAAAAAGAAAAGCTTGAAAGGAAACGGCAGTTTGAATCAGAGCAGGCTAGGTGGAGGCAAATGGCTGAAGTAAGTGATACAAGAAATGGTTTTATTTTTCAATATATTTTGATCTAATTAATAACATTCTTAATAGGAATATGATCGTAAGATTAAAGCACTAAAGCAAGCCGAAGAAGATCGAAAAAAAAGGGAGGAAGAGGCAAAAAGACAGGAAATACTTAGGATACAAAATAAAAAACTGGAGCAGGAGGCTGCATTGGCTGAAGAAAAGAGGAAAAAAGAAGAGGCTCTAAAAGCTGCGGAAAACGCCAAGAAAGTTCAAGATAATGCCAAAACTGTGGCCAATGATAATACTAAAAATATTGTTACAGACGAAATTTTGAAACAAGAACAACTTTATCGCAATATGCTCAAAACTATACATGATAAATTTTCAAAAAATCCTCAACTGAAATCTGCGACTACTGAAGCGAGAAAAAATATCACATTAGGATTAAACATTCTTACGAATGGTCGTGCGGAAATTATCAAAATTGTAACATTTATATTTATTTATTACAGTAAATGCAATTTTTTAAATCGTTACTGTGATTTAACTGATGTTTTATTTATTTAGGCTACTCAATTTGATGCAATGCTGAGAAACAATAAAAACAATTCGGATGTTTACTATTTTCTAATCAATTATATTGCCAAAGGAGTAGTGGTCAGTACAATAGGGTGACAGTGTAATAAATAGATATTTAAAACACTAACCTTTTTATTGTCCAATTTTAAAGAAACATGCTGAAATTGATGTAGTGTCTAAGGAATCTGCTGCATTCCCTTTTGCCCATTTGTGTGTGTTGATTTGTACGCAGCATACAGAATTCATGGAGTTTTTAATGACTCGCCTCGTTAAAAAATGTCCATATGTTTTACCACGCTATTATTCCCGTCAGGCCGTAGGTTATTCATAATTATATACAAACACACATATATATTTGAAAAAAATATGTCATATTTGAAATAATTGATACATTTAATCATTTTGTAGAATCAAAGTCTGGAGGAATATAAGAAACAAATGTCATATAAGCCAAATGAAGATGAAGATGCCTATGTTAATCGAATGTGTGCAATTGTAGCTCTATATTGTGCAATAATGCAAACACAACCTTTATATCCTAGTACGTTCAACAATTAATATTCAGAGTGTCAGTAAAAAAGGGACAATCATTTTTAGTAAATTCTTTTTGAAACTTAACTAAAATCTCAACACCATATAGCCAAGTTTTTTTTTAAATTATATGATTATATAGAATTAACAAACTTATTAAATATCTTGATTTAATGTTCAAAAAAATTAAGGAAAATTCGTCCCTTTTCTACTGACTTTACTCTACATATGCTATTTGTTTATTATTACATTGTTAACCGTTTATTTTAATTTGCTTTGCAGATCTTAAAAATCCATATGGCATTGATAATGCTTGGACATATCTAGCACGTTTAATGAATTTGAGGCCACAAAAAATTACGCCATCACTTCTTTATATTTGCTTAAAGGTGACTAAATAGCATTTCCTAACATTTGTGCTAGGATTATTATCTAATTATTTTTTATCATTTAGATTACTGGTTCGAGTCTTCTTCGTGCATATAATCAGCATGCACTGAAATTATTTTCTGTTGTTTATAAGAGTTATGTTCAAAAGCCTCCTTTAGAAGTTAATTCATTGTTGACAAGTGCGCCAGCTGCAATGTCCAGATTACGAACATTACTTGAGGATGCATCTAAAAAAGGACAATTTCCAGTTCCAGAAGGGCAAACTCCTGACTAAAATAAAAGTATTTGGGATCATCATCGTTTTCTTTACTGTTATGAACGACAAATTAAATAATTTATCATCGAACTTTGGCCATCAAGTTATTTTGTATTATATAATTTTTTAGCATTTACAATCCATAGCAAATCATATTTCTGTTTGACAAAAATGATCTCAAAATAAATATAACTATCGATATAACGGACACTCTTAACGAAATTTTACGTCATGCCTTTACACAATATAATAGAATTTTGTATTAATAGTTGTAGTCAGCTGTAGTCATGTTGAAAATACTGGAAAATATTTAAAGTATTTTATATTAATAACAATAGGATAATATAAAGCAATTACAAGTTAAATATATACAAAAAATTTACATTTTATTTTGCCCTAATTATAAACTATATAATTAGGTTAAAGATTTTATATTCGTATAAATATATACGTATATATCTTATATATATATACATATAAAAATATATACATACGCACTACAGATTTTTTTTTATAATTACATATACAGTCAGACCTTGTTGTAGTCACTCTTGATATAGTCACAACCTTGATATAATCATACAATTTTTTAACTCAAGTTATTATAAAACATGTAAAATTTGGCTTTTATATAGTTATAACTTTTTATAATCTAAAATAAAATTTGATTAATATAAAATTTGATTACAATAAAATATTGTACAATGTAAAAAATAAACAAGCTATTGAAAAATAAAAATTTTTAAAATATATTTTTTTGAGTTAGAGGTTAGTATATTATATTTTCATTCTAATATCTATTTTGTTAACACCAATTTTGCTAATAGCCATTTTATTAACAGTATGTTTTATTGAAAATCTACTTTTTTATCAACCTATTTTCTCAATAGCTACTTCTTAAAAGCTATTTTTTAATATTTTATTAATAGCTACTTTTTTAATATTCTTTTTTTTTTTTTTTTTTTTAATATTGAGGTGACTACTTAGATCCCTGGCACTTTATTAGTTCAAATAAGTAGGCCATATGTCCAAAGACTGGCTTTACATGTTACATCAGTACCACAAGAGTACAACTAGTCACATGTACAACTTTTGGTTGCCTATTTAAGTAGTTTGCCCAAAGCATTAGTGCTATGCTAGGGGTTCTATACTAGATATCATATCTATAGCCTAACTAGAAAGCTATCTATTTAAACTCTCTAGCTTCAACTGACTTTATATGTTTCCTTCTAATATACCCTTTTGGAAAGTAATTTACTATATAAAACTCTAAGACTTTAGTCAACAATATAAGGCGCATATTTCACATATATATTTATCTGCTTGTTTAGTAATTTTTTTTTAACTAGTACCTGTTGTGCTGCCATCACCGAGTTCGTATCTCAAGCCAACTTTTAGAGTGTTGCCATAACCCAATCAGTATCTCAAGCCACAACATTCCTAATTAGTCACCCATTAGGAAGCTTCTAGAAATTATATAATTTTTAGGTGGGTAGGTGGGTTGACAAACTTATTAGGTTATATATATATAATATATATATAATTTTTTTTTTTTTTTTTTTTAGTATTAAGGTGATCTCTTTGGCCTGAGGAACTTTTTATTAGAGTATAGATGGAGTTTTATATGTAATTACAATGATGGTACATTAAGCCACACATGCACCTTTTGAGTACTTATTTAAGTAGTCTGCCCGAAGGTTCTATACTATCTGCAATACCTGCACCCCAACTAGAGGGGTACTCATTTAAACTATCTGGTTCTAACTACCTCAATTCGCCCTCTAACCCAATAGGTTTTTTTACTATAAACTATGATAGATTTTGGTATCACTCTATCTAGATTTTGCACTTTACCTTAGAATATTTAACTATCCTCAAGGTAAACCTAACATAGCAATACATGTCCTACATGCTTGTTCTATAACTTCTTTCTAATTAGTACATATTGACCTGTCGTTCTGTATTCATATCTTTTGGGGTGATGCCATTCTATAGACGTTTCTCAAGTATTAACCTTCCTAACTAGGCACCTATTACATGTCGCAGATTAAAATGAAATCAGATTAAAATGAAACGGTAAACCTCTCTCGCTCCCCTTTAAAGCTTATAAAACTCACTTATACTCTTTTTTTTAATAAACCTAATACTAAACCCTAACTCTAACCCTAATACTAACCCTAAAAAATGTTCCCAAAATTTTTTAAATCGTCCCTAAAAAATATTAAAATTTCATTTTAATCTGATTTTATTTTAATCTGTCACATTACATACTTCTTGCCCTTGTTTTGGTTTCTAACAACCCCAGTACCCTGCATTTAGACTGTCTTCTTACCCGAATTCTTTGTCGGTCCCTCCTTTACTTCCAGCTAGCAACCCAAAAAGGTTGGTCTGCCCAGGCTTTAGGTGCCTAAAGAATGCTCTCCCCTTGATCCATACTTTCAGAGAGTATGTCCTTTTCCTCTGGTGCAACAACCTAGTAGTTCAGCTAATATGTCCTTTACTATTAGGACCTAGTTGCTCAGTTCTCTGATCTCAGGCCCCAGTTCGAATACAGCCCTCCTGTAGTACCATCGTAGATCACTACTACCTCCAAACTCGAGATTTGCCAAATGAGTTTTCGGTTATTCCGATCTCCTGGATTTATTGTACCGAAGCTTTCATTACTAGATGGTGTAACCAAGGTTATAGATTAATTTAGATCCAACCGATAGAAAGCCATCAACCATATATAGGCCTATTTTTTGAAATCGTTGCCAGTGGGATTCGAACTCTAGACCTGCTGCTTGGAGAGGGTAACGACTAGACCACTACACTAAGTCACCACATCTCTTATAATATATATATAATATATATAATATATATAATATATATAATATATATAATATATATATAATAAACAATATATATCAATTAAATATTTATTATACTATATATGGATTATATTATATTATTATTATTATTTTTTTTTTTTAAGCAATCCTGCTTCTATTTATTTTATAAACTACTATAAGATTATTATTATACAAATAACAATCTTGACTAGTATAGTGCTCTATTCTAATAGAAACTCACCAAGCCAAAGCCCAATGCGACCTGCTATAACAACTATTAGTCTCACGACAGGATCCAAAACTTACTTCAAATTTTGTATCGACAAAGGATACCCCTCTCAATTGTTTGACAGGATGTCATATACCTTGTTAGGATCTCTTTTTTCCCTTCTAATTCTTCCTTCTTCTCAAGGGGCATGAAACAAAAAGGGAGAAATTTTCAAACAAAGAGTAATGAAAACGACTAGAAAAAAAAAAAAAAAAAAAAAAAAAAAAAAAAACACTGATTGCAAAAAAAAAAAAACATAAAAAGAAATCTAAAACCCTAAAAACACTATTATAATTTAT